TGGAGCCCCGTGCTCAGCAGGAAGCCTGCTTCCCCCCCCCTCTCTCTGCCTGCCTCTCTGCCTACTTGTGATCTCTGTCTGTCAAATGAACAAAATCTTAAAAAAAAAAAAAAATGCATGGCCTTGAATTTCTTTTAAGTAGGCTCCACCCCCAACATGGGGCTTGAACTCACCACCCTGAGATCAAGAGTTGAAGGCTTGGGCACCTGGGTGGCTCAGTGGGTTGAGCCTCTGCCTTCAGCTCAGGTCATGGTCTCAGGGTCCTGGGATCGAGGCCTGCCTCGGGCTCTCTGCTCGGCAGGGAGCTTGCTTCCTCCTCTCTCTCTTTCTGCCTGCCTCTCTGCCTGCTTGTGATCTCTCTATTTATTTATTTGACAAATCAATCAATCAATAAATAAAATAAATAAATAAATAAAATCTTTTAAAAAAAGATTTTTTTGTCAAATAAATAAATAAAATCTTAAAAAAAAAAAAAAGAGTCGAAGCGTCTATGGGCTGAGCCAGCCAGGTGCCCCAGTAAATGTCCTTGAAGTTAAAATATATATATGCTTTTTTTTAAGGTGGGAGGAACTGACCGGCATGAGGCGCTGTAACGTGGAGCCACGTGGAGGTAGGGCTGACGGGAGAGGAGAGCTCGGTCTTTCCCCCAGATGGAGAAAAGTCAGGAAGGGCAGGGAGGCAAGATAGGCAGTTCTCTGAGTCAGAGGGAAGAGGCGACGGAAGCACGGAGGGCAAAATCTCCCATTTTGCACTTGACCCTGGTGACGCCCAGCCTCCCCCTGGGATTGCTTGGACCCCTCACCCCCATTTCCCTCGCCTCCTCCTTCCACTAAATCATCACCCTGAGAGGTAAAGACATTTGTTTGAGGTCCCACGGCCAGCAAGTACTGAAGCTGGGATTGGTCGTAGACTAAATGGAAGGGGCCAGAGAGAGAAGAGAAGATATATATTTTCCCTCTTCCGTATTTATTTGAAAAGGGTCATGTCACTACGCCAAAAATGGTGACTCGCTGCGCTAGACGAATCTCAATGACCAGAAGGGATTCCATGGGGATGATATTCTGGTTACCCAGAATGATAGGGGTGCAGTCCTCAAGATGGCCACACGGAGTCGCTGTTGGACAAGAATTCACTGTAACTCCCCGTTCAGGATAGGCGGGACCTTCCCGGCTGCCTCTTTATATTTTCTTGAAGGTGTGAATTGTCCCAGTTAAGCAAAAATAGGACCATGGCACTTTCTCTCCCAGGCACAAGGTAATCTTAAAATAAAAGGACCGGGGTAGATATTTCTAGCGCTCACCGATTATTCAGGCTCACCTCCCCTTTCTCAATACAAGAAGACTGCAGTCCCCCGCCCCGCTACGCAGACGGGCGGGGCCGTGCGCCTGTTCTGGCCAATGGGCTGCGAGGAGAGGGGACGTGCGTCACTTCCTGGCTGACGCCTTTAAGAGCCGGTGCGTGGGCCTCTCCGCTCTTTCCCAGGCAGGTGCGCTGAGGATCCTGTGGGATCAGAGGCAGCGACGGAGCTCTCCAAAAGTTTAGATCTGCAACTGCTTTATAAGGGAACCAACCTGTGTGGCTCAGTCCGTTAAGCGTCTGCCTTCAGCTCAGGTCATAATCTCAGGGTCCTGGGATCCAGCCCTACCTGGGGCGGGGGGGGGGTCTCTGCCCAGTGGGGAGTCAACTTCTCCCTCTCCCTCTGCACGCGCGCTCTCTCTCTCAAATAAAGAAAATCTTTAATATAATATAATTATATATATTATATATGCAACATATATAATATATATAATATGTTAATATTATATATATTAGCATAATATAAATAAGGCAACCACTGGCAGATGTCATGCGTATTTGGTTGTAAATTCATTTTTTATTTTTTAAAAAGATTTACTTTTTAGAGCGAAAGCATGCACCAGGGAGAGGGGCAGAGGAAGAAGGAGAGAGAGAACTTAAGCAGGTTCCACGCTCAGCACAGAGCCAGATGAGGGGCTCGACCCCACTACCCCAAGACCACCACCCCAGCCGAAACCAAGAGTGGGATGCTCAATGGACTGCGCCACTCAGGCGCCCCTGAGAAAATTTAACTAAATAAAAACATATTCAGCTCCTCAGTGACACTCGCCACATCTCACGTGCTCGAGAGCACCCCGTGGCCTGCGGCTAAGTGTTGCACAGAAAGGTCCATCCTCACAGAAAATTCTGCTGGACAGTGCCTCTCCAGACCACGGAACGCACGCACAGAGGACAGCTGCCCTGGAGAGGAACTTTGCCTTGGTTGTGTTCATCTGCTGAGACCTGGTTTGCTTTGTTTCCGCTGAAGCATAACCCAGCCTAGCCTCACCCATCGGACGTCTCGCTTAAAAGACCAATTGCTGGTTGGCAGCACAACACTAAGCCAAATGGAGAAGTGAGAGCTGCGGGTGGTGTCACCAGGCAGCCCCCAATATGAGCCGAGCAGGCAGACGGGGTCAAGGTCAGGCTCCAAGTCTTAGCTGCCCACTTTCTGTGATCTGTCTTGACCTGGCTTAGACCTCAACCACAAAGAATTGTTTCCTAAGAAAAGCATCGGGATCGTTAGAAATGAAGACCTTGCTCAGGGGTGGGGAGCACTCTTTCTCGTCGCTGTTGTTGGCGGCTGTCCTGTGACTTCTCCCGGATACCGTGGCAAACAGACCCGCGCAACACAGGCACAGCCTCGTGAGCCATCGGCATTGACTTCAGGCAAGAACCACGGTGTCTCCGGAGTGAGAGGCTCAGGTCTGAGAGTTCGCCCGATGAGAACTGTATCTGAGTTGAGACAAGTGCTCTCCATCCTTCCAAAGGCATTAAGAGCTCCCTGGTCCCGAGGGAATCTAAGGGTCTGTGTGTGACCCCCCACCATGGAGGTTGTAAAATACCATTGCCATTGACCCTGCAATCTCGCTTCTAGGCGTCCGCACAAAGGAACCGAAGGCAGTTCAGACACACCCCTGTGAGCTCGTGGTCTCAGGGGCAGGATTCATGCACAGGAGCCAAAAAGTCTAGAAAAAACCTAAGTGCCCATCGGCGGAGGAGCGAACAAAAAGGGGTGGTCCCCACAGTGGAATATTATTCAGCTGCGGAAAGAAAGAAATGCTGATCCATGCTACTAAGGGGATGAACCTCGAAAACATTAAACTAAAGTGAAAGCAGCAAGACACAAAAGGCAAAGCCTTGTCCGATTCCGTTGATAGGACATCTTGGGACTAGGCACATCCCCAGAAACACAAAGCAAATTACTGGATGCTCGCGGCGGGAAGGGGAGGGGTGGGGCTTCCCTCCGTGGTGCCCATGTTCTCAGATGGTGGGTGCTGATTGCTTTTATCTTGAAAATAGTGAATATAGTAAAGCCGTCAAATTAAGACACTTTAAAGGGGTGAGTTGGGGGCACCTGAGTGGCTCAGTGGGTTAAGCGTCTGCCCTCAGCTCAGGTCATGATCTCGGGGTCCTGGGATCAAGTCCCACATTGGGCTCCTTGAGCTCTGCCTGCCCCTCGCCCTGCTTGTGCTCTCTCTCTCTCTCAAATAAAATCTTTTTTTAAAAAAGAAGGGGAAATGAGTTGTATGGTATGCGTTGTATCTCAACAAAGCTATTTTTAAAGGAAGAGAGTAACATTCGTTGTAATCTCTTCTGTTTCTCCGGCTCTTTTCCTCTGGTCTCCAGCCCCTGACCAGTCCCAAATGCGGCTTCGTGGGTGTCTCCGACTCAACAGCTTCAGAGAGTGGGACGTTTGCATCTAGATGTTTTTGTGGCATCTAGTGGGGTGGGTGTCCTCACCTCGCCCGTGCCACCCGACGGCCCGGCTCAGACGACCTGAGAGAGGAATTGAGCTTAATTCGGTGTGACCCGTCTGCTTCAACACGACCCAGGGTTGGGCTCACAGAACTGCCAGAGATCCCACTCTCGGCCCACAACGAGCGGTTGGAGCTGACAGAACAGCAACTTCCTTGTTTGGGGGGCTTGTGTAAAGATCTGGTGCATTGTACACAAATCAAATTTTGTGTGTTTTGGTGATTTCACTTTTCCAGGACACATACAAACATTTATGATAGAAACGGGCCTCTGTGAAAGGGGTTCCAAGATATCAAGTGGGTGGTCTGTTTGAAGTGGGACTGGAGGGCCAGCCTCCTTGTGGGTTTATAAAGGGTCCAGCCCCAGGAGGAGCTCCCACGTGGGCTTCTGAGACTCATGATCACTGCCCCCCACCAATCCCCGACGGTCCCAATGCCGTGGTCCAAGGGGCACCCAAGTCTCCAACCTCCCCGAGTGGCCCTAACACCCAACCCAGCACAGAGACAAGAGTGACGGCTGACCACGGAGTCCTCAGCAAGCTTCATCCGCCGACAACATCCACTCACCTTTCTCTACCAGGGGCTAATCCAACTCAACCGATTCCTAATTCCACCGTCAAGGGCGAGAGCCCACTTAGGATGCCAGTCCCCTGGCCAGTGGGCTCAGCCCTGTGACTTGCTCTAAGATCCAACAGAACAGAGCATGGGAAGCGCTCTCTGGGCTCTGAAGGTGGTGACCAAAGCCGGCTCTGCTGTCCCAGGACTCCCCTGCTTTCTGTCCCATCGCTGCTGAAGTCACCAACCCACCCAGATGTGGAGGAGGGGGACGAGCCCTGGCTCTCATGGGAGCCCCGTCACCATGGGCTGAAATCAGTGCCCCCCACTGCCCGCCTCAAGCTCAAATGCTGACACCCAGGTTCTACGAGCAAAATGGAAACTCACAGACACGTTCCATTAAACTCACCCAATGTTTAATGAATAGTGAACCGTTGACAAGTCTGCCAAAATCTGCAACTCACTCACCCGATCTCTCTCGACCCCCTCAAGAAGGAAGCCGGGAGCAGGACCACCCCAAATGCCAGAGAGTAGCCAGGGGGCTGGGGGATGCGGGGAACGGGTGGGGAGAGGAAGGAGCAAGGCAGAGTGCGAAGTTACACTCCGGGGGAGAGGGGACACACGTGCGCACGCGCGCGCGCGCAAACACACACACACACACACACACACACACAGGCAAGGACCAGAGGCGTCAGTCTCAGCCCCCACTCAGCGGCCGCAGGGACATCAGGGAAAGACCAGGCGTCCACGAGACATTTCAGTCCTTCCCGTCATGAAGCGTCTGCCACCAGGGGCTGGGCCAAGGTCACTGGACTGTGCAGAGAAGAGGTGGGGGAGGGGTGAGTTTACAGGGACCAAGACCAGTGGGGACCCCATGATAAAGGAAGAAAGACAAGTGAGGGGCAAAAATGCAGTCCCTGGGAGAAACTGAGGCACGAGGACAACGGGATGCCCGTGAGAGAGAAGCTGTAATCCAACGGGCAAGGTGGGCCAAGACTTCATTCTTAATAAATTTGGGGGTGGGGATGTGCTGCAGCGCAGCACTATCAGAGGGGAGAGTACACGTGTCACCTGTGCCCCACGGGGACACAGCTCTCCAGACAAGCTGGCCACTGAAATGGGGTCTGGGGATGCCCGCGCCAGCTGCAAACCCCAGAAAGACCTCTTCATGGCCCCCGACCTGCAAAGAGGACCCGCCTGGCCGCCAGCTCCTGGGAGGGGGGGATCTCAAAGCACTGGGAATGGAATGTCCTTCCTGGGTGACATCCCGGTTCACCTGGGGCCCTGGGCTACGGTGCCCAGCTACGCTAATGACACGATTTACAGCAGGGGCCTTGGACCACAAGATAGCAGCTCCTGCTTCTGGAGGGGCCAGAGGCCAAGGTCAACCACGGAGGGCGAGCTTCCCTGTGGTGATACTCCGACCACGGGGACAATGAGGGGTCCTGATGCCGCCCCATACTTCTCCTCTTCACTGACTTTCATGGCTACCCTGCTGCTATGATCATCATACCACCCGTATAACTTGGTGAGTCCTGAGTGTCCTCTAGCGAATCCCGGAACCCGAGGGTGGTCTCAGGGACCCCGGAAACTGCACCCACAAAACATGCGAACAAGACCCACTGCTCCCTCCCTCCTTTCCCCAACGTAAATCCCATGTTTGCTCGTGTGGGAGGAAAGCATCCACTGAGGGCCCTCCCTGGAACCCCAGCCAACCGAGGGCTGATGTCAGGAGCCACCTGTCAATTCCCACTTCGGGCTTGAAGAACTGAAAGCCCCGCCCCCACCCTCACAGCTGCCAGCGCGTAACTGAGTCAGCTCAAGCCGCTTTGGAATTACATAATTCTTGACTTTCTCTGTTTAGGGGAGCCCTCCCTTCATCTCAGAGCTGCACAGGAGGCAAGATGCGGCTCCGTATCGCATTAATTCAATCTTCGTGTTCAAGTTCACAGCGAAGGTGACCTCACTCTGCTCTGCTAAAGGACTCTAGGAAACAGAACTTGAGTTTCAAGCATTTGAAAACCAGTTTTCTGGATCCAAGTCTCCTGGGGACAGGAAATTGGGTCCACTGTATACTGACGGAAGGCAGGGATGCTCAAAGAGAGAGAATGGGAGAGTACTTCCAGGCTCTCAGCCATCAGGAGCCAGAACCTGGTTCTGGAGTGGGCTAGAATTGGGTGCCCAGTTTTGGGGGGTGGTTGGGGCTCATCTGGAACACACTTGCTTGGAAATGGGAAATCAGGCTCAGGAACTCCTGAAAAGCAGTTCCGTGATCTAGAAAATAATACAGACAATGCTACCCATTCCGGATGGTATCGGGATGGAAACGAGTCTTAGGTTCAGGGTATGTGGACCGCAGTGTGTACGAGCCGGGTCCCCCTCACCTCTGCCTTCAGGGCACATTAGCCCTGAGCCAAGGCGGCCTTGACAGCGGCCACCAGCTTCAGAAACTTGCTCTCTGTGTCCACGTAGCCATCACCTCTCTGGGGAGTGGAAGAAGAGGGAAGCAGTGAGATCCCAATGCCCAGCCAGCCTGAGAATAAGACGAGAAGGATGGACAGACAGACAGCCATACCTTCTTGGAGTGAACCAACTTCCCAGCTACCATCACTTCAAAGAAGCCGGTGGCCTGGGGAGTTCCCTCGCCGCACTGGGGAGAGAGATGATGTTGGAGGGGTGGAGCGGGCCACCTGGGGACACCTGCACCTATGGGGTGAAGAATGGGGCCAGCCCGAACCACCTGAGATACTGGGATCCCGCCCCCCTCAGGGGTCAGGAACACACAAGGAGACCCATTCTCCTTGTGTGATTCTCCTCCCCACCACCAAGACTCACGATGTCCAGGCATCCCGGGAACTCATCTTCTAACTTCTTCTTGAGCTGAAGATACTGGAAAGGAAGTGCGGGGTTCAAAAGGGGTTAACAGGGGCCACGCCAGCTCGCCCTCCTCCCTCATCTCCCAGGGACACCCTGGGGCTGGCCAGTCTGCTTACCTTGGACTTGTAGCCTCAAGCACCACTGGTGGGAGGGAGTCCAAAGAGTGGGTTCCAGGGGAGAGAGGGAGACGGTGGGGATCCAGGAAGAGGAAGGAAGTGGGGGGAAGAGGCAGATGAGTGGCGGAGGGAGACACAAAGGGAAATGGAAGGGGGCCCAGAAAGACATGAAGAGGAACGCAGACAGACGACAAAGCCAAAGAGGGGACAGACAGAGGAGAGGACACACAGAAAATGTTGACAGCAGCACAGGGACAGGGAACAGGAGGCAGACACCCACACACACAGAAAAGCGACACCCAACAGAGGAGCCAAGCAACAGAGAGGGGGCGCAGAGCAAGGGGGTGACAAGGAGAGACCACAAGTATGAGACACAGGCGGAAGGAAAAGAAACAGAAATCGGGGTTAGGATGAGAACCAGAAAAACAGCATCCCCACCCACAGCCCGGGGAGAAAGTGTCCTGAAAACCTTTACTCCTGGATCCCCAGGTCCTCCCAGCCCTGAGGCGGGAATCCAAACGCCTCCCCAACCCCCACAGCAGGCTATTTCAGGAGTGGAGTCTGGCACAGGCCTCCTGGGGGCCTCAAAATATCACTCCTCTGTTTTGCGGAGGGTGAGGGGACATTTCTAACCCGCCAGCATTTCTATCTCAGCCTTTCAAAACCAGCAGCTGCCTCAGGGCATTTGACTCACGCTGGGACATGACCCACCCCCAACCTCCCCTATAACGAAGACAGAGCTAATATTTTTCTGCAAGCACCTTCTGGGAGGAGAAATGTGCGGAACGTGCATTTACGAGGCGCCCACAGGCAGGCCTGTCTATGCAATTGGGACGGGGGGTGGGGGTGTAAGGAGCAGTCAACGAGAAAATCCCCTGTCCACTCGGGACGTTTTCACGCTAGCGAGGAAGCTGGATCAAACATGCACTCCCTTCCGCGGTCCCTACCGAGATCACTCTCTCTCCCTCTGCAGATGGGGAAATCCAGGCCCGAAAGGGAGGAGGATTACTAACGTTGGGCACCCACCGTCTTTCATTCCTTTCAAACCCACGCTGGAACCTTCTCGAACCTTCCCGACTCTCGCCGTCCCCACCCCATGACTGTTCACGGTACTGGGGGAGGGGAAGCCTAAACGTGCAGAGAGGTTCCGCTCCCGTTACAAAGGTGACCCCCACCCCCGGCTCCGCAAACGGAGCCCCCCAGAGTCGAGTGTCTTAAACAGCCTCACACGTGTCTCGGTTCCACCTTCGGAAACCTGAGCTGTCCTGAATGCCACGCACCCGGGAGGTGGACCAACGCCCTTCCTTCGCGCCAGTCCCCTCACGCCCATCCCACCCGTAGGGAACCCCTTTTCTCGGGCAGGGAGCCCCGTGGGTCCAGCCCCCAGTCCCCAGGGCCCAGCATCGTCGGGCCGAGGAGGGGTCCGGGCGGGGGTCGCGGAGGGGGCCCCCGGCCGTCGTGCTTACCAATAAACGACTCGGATGGCGAGGGCCATAGCTGGGGACCGCAGCATGGGCGGGACGCGGACAGCGACCCACCTGCGGCTGGGACAGACGCACTCCGCGGCTCGGGGATCTCAGCACAAAGGTTGTTACTCCGCTTTCCACGGCGCGAACCAACGCGGGGGGGAGCGGGGATGGCGGGGGCCGATGGGCCCCCACGGCGGGAGTGCAGGGACCCTGTGACCCGCCACCCTGAGACCCCACGCAACCCCTTCCCTTGCCCCGCTGGGGTCGGGCCGCGTCCGACAGAAGCCCCCGGGGAAGCCTCTGCGCGACCCCTCCAGGTCCCCCCTCTGGGCCGGAATGGTACGGCCCCGCGGGGCGGGATTCGGGACCGGCGGATCCGCAAAGAAAACAGAATTGCCAAGGAAGGTGGTGGTTTTCCAGTGTGGGCCGGGAGGGGGCGGCTCTCGGGCCCCTTTTCTGCCTGGGAGAGGGTGGGAGGGCCGAGCCGGAAAGCACTGGGGGTGCGCAGGGGCCCGCCCGGGAGGCCCAGGTTTCCTGCGAGCGCCTGCAGGGCCGCCGCTGCCTGATGCGGACAGGGCCGCTGGACCGGGCGCCGCCTAAGCGGCGAGGCGAGGGGTTCAGGAAAGTGCTGGAAGCGGGCACCTAGCTAAGGGATTAATTAGAGCGTGGGCGCCTCTCCGAGCCTCAGTTTCTCTGTGCGGAAGATGGGCATAATCGCCTTCAGGGACGACTCATTCATTTACCAAATATGTAGTGCGGGCCCACCTGCAGTCCGCGATGAAAATATAGACAAAATCCCTTCCCTACTGGGAGTGATTTAGCCTGCCAGCTGGAGGACATAAAGGGGTTGGTGAGCGAGTGTCTGGCGCTTGCAGAAGGCTCAGTAAAGACCAGCTCAGCTAAGATCTTCCTTCCCCCGCTTCTGTCTCTGCCTCTGGTCCTTGGTCCTCGCTTGCTATAACCCTGGCTCAGGGGGGATGGCAGACAAGGTTCAAGTTCTACTCCCCCTCTGTTGTGTGACTTCTGATCCCCCTGGTCTTGGAAGGATAATAATGCGCCTGGGATATAGAGCAACCAACAGGGCTGTGTGCAATCAATGGCCCCTAAACAGAGATCTTCCAGAGCCGTCCGAACAAAAACCCAAATCTTGGCACCGTCTGCCCCTGTCTGGTCCCATCCTTCCCTCCTTGCCCTATCTCCCAGTGCCCTAGCCACATCGAATCACCGCGATCCCATCTCAGACCTCCCCTGCTTTCTTCCTTCTCGGCCTTGGCACGTGCTGTTTCTGCCCTCTCCTGCTGCCACAGTCGCGCTCATCAACAGCAATCAGCTCCGATGTCGCCAGCTAGACCCCAGGACCTGACCTTGACTGCCCACCTGCTGGTACTCATCGACCTTTGTTCCACATTTTCTCTTAAGCTCCTCTTTTCAGCTTGTCTCTTAACTCAGGCAGATGGAAAGCAAAGCCACTCCACCAGCCATAGCAACTGCCCTAAAAAGACCTCCAGACCCCCCAGACCACCCTGGGGTGGGGTTAAGCTCCCCAGACTCACACCTGAGCAGATGGTCGGAGGATGGAGTGATCCCTAAAATGACAAGTACCTTTATCACATTATAATACTGAAATCTCCACACAAGGAGGAGCACGAGCCTCATTTACATAACAGCCAACGCGTGTTCCGGCACGTTGCCTTAAAGCGCATGCGCGACCTTGTGCCCACCTCTACCTAGAATGAACTACTCATCCTAACCCTACAGGAAAGACCCCACCGAGCCTTGCTTGGGAGTCACTTTTGGAAGCCCTTCTCCGTGATCTCCTCTTATTTGCTGCAAATAAATTTGTCCTTGCCCTAGTGTCGTTTCTGACTCACCGAGGAGAGAACTCAGGGTGGGTGGTTCCGTTACAGTATTATAAGGAAAACATTGTGCTTCCGGGGAAAGCTGTGCCTTCTGCATAGTACATCTGTATTTGTTTCTGTCACCACAAAGTACGTGGCTTAAGCCACTGAGAGTTGGTTCCCGGTTCTAGAGGTCGGAAGCTGGGAGATCCAGGGGCGCCTGTCTAGCTCAGTCTGTGGAGCGCGGGACTCTTGATCTCGGGTTGTGAGTTTGAGCCCAATGCTGGGTGTACAGGTTACTTAAAAATAAAATCTCAAAAAAAAATAAAATAAATAAAATAAAATAAAATCTCCAGGCGCCTGGGTGGTTCAGTCGTTGAGCAACTGCTTTAGACTCAGGTCACGTCCCAGGGTCTTGGGATCAAGCCCCGCAACAGGCTCCTTGCTCAGCAGAGCGCCTGCTTCTCCCTCAGCCTGCTGCTTCCCCTGCTTGCGCTCTCTCCCTCTCTCTCTGACAAATAAATAAAATCTTTTAAAAACTTTAAAAATTTTTAAAAATTAAAATAAATAAAATAAAAATCTAAAAAAAAAAAGAAAGAAAGAAAGAAAAAGAAAAGAAAAGAAAGAAGATGGAGATCAAGGTGTCCATAAAGTTGATTCCCTCTGAGGGCTGGGAGAAAGACTTCATGCTTTTTTCCTCGCTTGTGGTGATTTGCTGGCTATCTTGGTGTTGCTCGTAAAAGTGTCACTTGGCTCTCTGCCTTCATCTTTACATAGCATTGTGTGTGTCTCTCTCTCCACATTTCCCCATTTTATAAGGACATAAATCATGTTGGATTAGAGACACCCCCCCCCTCAGTCCAGTAGGACCTCATCGTAACTACTTACATCCGCAAAGAACCTATTTCCAAATAAGATCACATCCTGAGGTCCTGGGGGCTAGCATACATTCAACATACATGAATCTGGGGCAGGACGCCATTCAGCCCAGAACAAATCCTTCCAAGCTGTGGGCTGTTTTATAATCCTGTCCATTGGGGCGCCTGGGTGGCTCAGTGGGTTAAGCCTCTGCCTTCAGCTCAGGTCATGATCCCAGGGTCCTGGGATCGAGCCCCGCATTGGGCTCTCTGCTCAGCGGGGAACCTGCTTCCTCCTCTCTCTCTCCTGCCTGCCTCTCTGCCTACTTGTGATCTCTGTCTGTCAAATAAATAAATAAATAAAAATTAAAAAAAAATAATCCTGTCCATTGCAGATACATGGAAGCAATGCACAGTAATTCTCCGTGTGGCTTATAAGCGACAAACATTAATGGGGGGGGGGACACAAATATTCAGGCCATAGCACCTCCCCAAATGTTCTGCCTCCAATATTGGCTTCAACCTTCCTGATCTGTAAATGTGTCTGTTCTTCGAGCGTCCTCTGAACAGGGGGAGCCCAGCCTCGATCTCACGTTCACTTTTAGATCTGCATGTGTCATGATTTTCCCAAAACCCATCCTGTAACAACTGTCCTCCAGCAAGGTCTCCTGAGCCTGGGTCAGGGTCGGGGTCCCCTCGACACTCCCCCTTCTCTGCTGCCACTGTCGCTCTGGTTCTCACAGGTCTGGTGACCCCCCCGGTTTTCCCAGCGCACCCAGCCAGTGGCCAGGCACAGCCCAGAAGCTCTGAGTGTTTTGTTGGCCAGGCTCCGGGCTGAGACCTTGCCAGAAGCTTCAGAGAAAAGGAACACCAGCCCCCCTCTTCTGCCCTGAGAACAAAGGGGTCTCTTGTCCAGAAGTTGGGGGGGCCGGAAGAATTAGTAGTGGTTTTGGGGGGCTGGGACTCTCCCTCTCTCTCTCATACACATGCACATAGACCAATGTTAACACACAAGGACTCACCCCTACCCGGGTACACAACTGCACAGCAACCAAATGGCAACCCAGCCAGAAACACAGTAACACAACAGCCTACACCTCTCCAGTCGGCCACACAATGACACCAAAGGCACACCAGGACCTCTGTAGACCACAGCCAAGCCAGGGCGACCAAATGTGCCAGACCCAAGGGCAGCCACCTCCACACACACACAGGGGACACACAGCCACATTCCAGACACACAAGAGCGCAACACAACGCGATCCAGCCCAAGATCCAGCTCACTGGGGACGTATGACTGCAGACAAGGCACATCCTGCAGAATGAGGCCCCAGGCGCTGACACACAACTTAACTGACTGAGGCCGGCCAGCATGGCCTCCCCACCCCCAGCAACACACAACTCCACCCGCCCAGGGGACAGAAACAAATATGTACTACGTGAGGGGCATGGTGAGCGCTGGGAAAGAAAATAAAGCCAGGAAGGGTGGCGGGCAGGGCTGGGGCAGCAAGTTTTATAAACAGAGCGAGGAAGCGGCTATGTCCTTCATGAGAGCATCCTGCCCTTGAAGAGACAAGAACTGTGATGGTCCCATTTCACAGATGGGCACACTAAAGGCACTCACCTGAGGCCGGGTAAGCCCAGTGTCAGGCTGCAGAACCAGCTTCCTGTGGGCAAGATGAGAAAGGTGGGGTCAGGTTGAGCAGGGCCCGGGGGTGTTCTCAGGGACCCCAAAAGCCCCAGGGGTGAAAGAGGCCTGAACTTCTGAGGGTCCAGGACGCCCAGTCTGCCTATCCCGGCCCCAGGGAAAATGTTGCTCAAGGCTTTGTGTCTGATGTGTCCCTGGAGCGTGACAAGCCTACCCCTGCCTGTTCTTCGATGTCTTCAACACCGGGCGCAGGCGAGGCCAGCGGCCATGCCACCTCTATCTGTCTGTCTGTCTGTCATTCTGCAGGGGGTCAGGGCCTCCCTGGGACTCCTTTTCATTCCCCCTACCCCCATCCAGGGAGGACCCCTGAGCCCTGAGCAGACTGTGCCCCAGATGGGGAGGACCCCATCTCCTCCATTCTTGGGACCCACATGAGCCGAGGCCCCCTTTTTACTGGGGTTATCGATCTTCTAGGTTATTAGTTTTTAAGAGTTCTTTACATATTCTAGCTCCAAGTCCTTTGCTGGAGATAAAGTTTTGCAGACACTTTCCCAGTCAGCGGCGTGCCCTCCCAGTCTCACAGTGGCATCTTTTGGGGAGCAAAGGATTTTAATTTTGATAAAGTCCCATTTCGTTTTGCTTTAATCATGCTTTGTCCCTTTTTGGTGTCACACCTAGGGTATCTCTGTCAAACCTAGGGCCACTAAGATTTCCTCCAATGTTTTCTTCTGGAAGTGTTTGTGGTTTTTTTTTTCTCTTCTTTTAGATCTTGTGTTCTCT